AAAATAAACGTAATAATGTGTATTATGCTCATTATTTATTTCGTGACTTAACGATTTTTCGTTTTCATAGTATTCATTAGCAAATATATTGTTACGTGTATTCCATACAATATTGCATAAAAAATATTTATGTGCTTCAAATATGCTGTATGTATCTATAGACATTCATGAATAATGCCTTCTTACCTTAAACAACTCGTGGCGTGACTGTTTTTTAGATGTCTAATGTCTAGACATTCTTTTATCTTTAGTCATAAGACATGATAGCAGTTCGCCCATTAAGAAAGAACAACGAATAAAATAATTTTATTTCTTTGTGTCTTATGATCGCTTATTCTTTGTCACCGGAATTAACCTCAGAATCAATTAAGATTGAATTTTTTCGTGCAAATTTTTAGATTAGGCAACGATGCAAATCTATTGAAAGTCTTGCATCAATAACATTATCAGAGATATATTCTTAAAGGCACTTTTCAATATTAAAGCTTTCGGTTTTATGCAAAAAAATCAATGAATAGAACTTTGGATAAGAACCTTCTCTTAAAAATCTCTTGTCCAATAGTCATTACTTAATATCTTTGAGTAACCGTTCGAAAGCATGTAATTCTAAATTTATGCTATAAAAATTCATGCATGCATAGTTCCTATGAAACGAAAAAGAAGTTTTCTCAAATAAGCAATTTTCATATTCAAAACAAGAAAAAATTTATCTTTATTAAAAATACCAACGATTATGTGAAATATTAATCTTACATATACTTTCCTGTTCCTATATAATAATTCAACTAAGTATACGTTAGTGCAGCCATTATTTCATGAAAGAGACCATATATATGAGTGTTTTTCTCGTCAGAAAATCGAGAAAAATCAAAAATGATTTCTTTTTTTCTAACATTGAATGTTAGTGGAAATTTTTTCAAAAAAGAATTATCGCTATCATTTAAGCATTATTTTTCTACACTAAAATCACTTGCCACTTCGTGCAAATTACATGCAGCAGTTTGTTTTAATTGAATATATTTTTTTAAAATTGACTTTTACATTTCACAAGTGTTATAAAAACCATTACTGTCTTGCATTTAAGACGTGAATACAGGTGATCAAATAAACTCAGAGATGTTTAATATCATTTGTCGTTTACAATTATGAGACGCGTTTCTAGATGCGTCTTCATGCAATCGACAATTCAACCGCATCCAGCTGCGTTTCTAAAACGCGGGTGAACGCAATCGTTTCTACAAACGCGTTCCATTGCGTTTTTACCTTTAAAGTCGCGAAACGCGTTTCTAATTTGGACGCGTCCAGATGCATCATGAATTTCAACGCGTTCAGATGCGTCCCTTGAACGCGGTGGAACGCAGTCATTATTGCAAACGCGTTTAACTGCATTTTCACTTTTAAAATCGAGAAACGCGTTTGTATTTTAGATGCGTCTAGATGCGTCCACCAATCTAAACGCATCCAGATGCATCTCTAAGACGCGACTGAACGCGTTTTGCTCATTGTTCTTAACGTTGCTGCGTCTGCACGCGTTTAAAACGCGTTTGAACGCATCTAGTCTGCGTTTCACTTTTACATGGGAAGAACTACTGTGAGAAAAAAGGCAACGTGGCATGGTAGTATTACGAATGCGATAAATAGACATTCGCTAAAGTAATTGATAGTAAGATAGCAACAACTCTAAGAGGAGTAAAGATTGGTATGGAGTGTTATTTTGTATTTTGGGGGAAAATGTCAAAATTTGACCAAGGTTTTTCTTCTTTTCACAGATCCATAGATTAGACACACTCAATGGGGCGAAAACTATAGATAGATAGATTTTTCTTTCTATTATTTCTTTTGCACTCAAAGAGAGGCATTCGACTGTAAATTAATCCATCAATGGTTAACATCTCTCTGTCAACTATATGTAAATGTATGCATGTATATGATATTTCCGTATTACAGAAAATTCTTTATTGATTTTTCTTTTTAGCTTTTTACATAAGTAAATGTTAAGATTACATTTTATGTTTTGTTTCTCTATCTTAGATTAAAAGAAAATGTTTTTCATATCAATTATCTTTCTAACTATTATCACTTTTTCAATACAATCAGGTCAACCATCATTAAAACTAACATTTATTCCTGATGAAAAATATTATACAAGTGATCATCAAGTTGATATTCTGTGTGAAGTACTTAATCCAAGTGATGATACAGAAGCACCACAGTTATGGCATATTGATTTAAAAAATGGTAGACGTACACCAATAATTCGTTTATTTATAAATACACCACCAGATGATGCACCGGATTCATTCAGACGAAATTCTAATAAACGTATAGAATTTATTAAAAAGAATCATTTACGTATAAAAAATTTACAATTAGAAGATTCAGCCCGATATGACTGTAATTGTCCTAATTGTGAACAACGGTTCGCAGGACAGAGAAGATTTTTACAAGTTATGAGATTAGCTGAACCTAGATGGCATATTGAATCTGGTTGGCCAATACAAGAAAATGCTAAAACAACAATAAAATGTACAGTTGATGATTTTTATCCATATGTTAGTCATAAAATAATTCTGAACCATCAGGAAATAACTGATGAAGGTAGAAGTGTACCAACAAATCCTAAGAAGTTTTCACAAAAGTTTTCTTGGGAAGCAACTGTTATACCCACAGCTGATTGGCATAATCAAACATTACAATGTACAGTTACTCAAGGTTTGTATTTCTTTTCTCCTTACTTCCATAAAATAAACAAATTATTCTATTCTTTATAAAATAGGCAATACAGAACACCATGCACTTAAAGTTCTTGATGTTTTATTTACACCACGCTTTCTTAAATGTGATGAAGAACAATATGTTAATTCAACAAAAGAAAATGCAACAATTGAATGTTCATATTCAGGAAATCCAGCACCTACATTAACATGGTTTCATCAAACAGATGAAAAACCTATTAAATCTGAAACAGGTATTACTATTGAAACAAAAGATGAACATCATGGTAAATATAAAAGTATTGTTACATTTGATCGTGAGAAACTAATTGCTATGTCATTAACGACAACAACACTGACAACATCTTCTAATGGAAAATCTGATATAACAATTAAACCAAAAGCTACAGGAGATAATTATTATCAACAATTACTAAATGATGGATTTATTGTTAAATTAACATATAATAATGAAGAAAAAGGTTTACATAAAATAAATATAGTTAGTGATGTAGATGAAGTGCGATCAAATACAGTTGATAGTTCATCAATTAAAACGATACAAAATCTATCAACATCTCTTATGTTATTATCATTTTTAACTGTTCTCTATATGATACAACATCTTTGAAAGAAGCCATATGAAAAATCGGCTTTTTCCATATATTGTCATCAAATAAATATATTTAAAAAATACTAATAATTGATTCTGAAAGCACTTGAAATTTTCTATCACTCTGTATATTTACGTTTGAGCTTGCACATATAGTTTGGAGAAGATGCAGTTGGAAAAAATATGATTTATTAATGAGTAAAGTACTGCGACAAAAAAAAAACATTATTAATTTTCAACGAAAATTATATTTACATTTCAGGCTTTCGACAATAATCAGTTGTCATGATCAGAAAATGACTAGTGAAAAGTAAAATAAGATATATACAAATTTACGATAAAAGATAAAACGATAACACAATTACAATGTGACAAAAAAATATATAATAATCCGTATTATTATATTTGTTGTCACATTGTAATTGTATTATGGTTTTATCTTTTATCGTAAATTTTTATATATCTTATTGTACTTTTCATTAGTTATTTTCTGATGATAACAATTTGAAATTGTCGAAAGCTCAAAATGTAAATAACTTTCGTTGAAAATTAATAATGGCTTTTTTTGTCGCAGTACTTTACTCATTAATAAACCACAGTTGGAGCATATTTGGTAAGAAATAGATCAAATGCAAGAAACACATCCTTACTTTTAGATTCCGACGAACTGGCTTTTTTCAATCTCTTAAGTAAGATTTTAAACTTTATCATGATTATAGGAATATCTTTTTCAAAAAAAAATATTTTGAGAGAACTTCAAATCATCAAACATTCGGTATAGTTTTGTAACATCTTATAATTATGCACTCATGAATGCTGTGGATATCATCTAGGCACGATCCGTTGCAAAGTCGAAACACTTATATGTTTCACTTATTTCTTATTTCAAACTCGAGTAACATATATGGTTACATGTTTGATATTTCATTCTATAAATATATTTGACTTGGAATAAAAAGGAAAATAATAACAGAAAAGAAAAAGTTTGAACAATTTCTCCAAGAGTATGTCTACCTTATACTCACATTATTTATCAGAACTTAAAATATCCAGCAAGAGAGCAATATATAGAATGACAGAGAAGTCTGAAGGCTATCACAAAATATAATTACATTAATAAAAGTTGATTCTTAGTTTAGCTAAAACTTGAAAACAGGACACAATATTGTTAAGTATGGTTCTTGTCAGTTGAATTTATCTGCATTAGAATCGAGGTATTATTCAAATAATAAATGTGAAGAAACTAAATATTCAGTGAAATTCGTTCAGTATTATATACAAGTTATAAGTAAATAACTCAAACTATGAGTATAAAATTGAGTGTTCAGTAATTATTCTATTTACTCAGTTAAAAATTCATTTACTTATCAAATGAATAGTACTTTTATTAGTTGTCATTTTAATTTTTTTGATGAAAACATTTTAGTATAAATACAAGAATGGTTCTCCACGGTAACTGACTATGGCTTCACGAGTCCAACGAATTAATTGGAATGAAATATATGTATTCATCTTCGTTCTAAGATATTATCCAAGCATTCTCTTATCGGGATGTACTTCAGGCATTTTTTTCTCGTATCAAGCTTTTCCTTAAGTATGATTGGTTTTGTCCTAGTTCGTTCAAAAGGGATATAACTATCGCTTGAAAAATAAAAGGCATGAGTTAGTATTAACACACTAGACTGAACACATGAACAATATTATATCTCATTCGGTTTGAAATTGGCAACGGTGATGGAAATCATTGAAGTACCAGTTAATGCTTCTGACAAGGAGATAAATACAAACGAAACGACTAATAATGGAAACTGGTGAAAAAAAGAGAACGAAATCGGTTAAAAGAAATAATATTTAAGGATTCTAGATTGGTTGAAGAGACATACAAAAGAAAATGAATGGTATATACTTTTCATCAATATAAAAAAACTTAATATTTCATGTTACATTACCATTAGGTAAATTTAAAAAGTTGAGATGGTGTGTGGAATCGTCCTGTGTTTCTTCAAAAAAGTTATCTGTAAACATGTCAGCATGGCAATCATACTAATTTTACTGATATTGATAAATAAAAAGACCGAATAGCAATAAATGAAACACTGAGCCTTTTATAATTAGTTACTAAAATTTCAAATTACATATTGTACGAAAACTAATTTTTTACGGAGCAAGAAAAAACCGAGCCTTGATTAAAAAAAAAGCACTGAACAACAAATTACAAGTCATAATAAATTATAAGATAGCAGATAAATATACAAGGTGATAGTAAAGTTGTAGCTCTATCAAAATACATAATAACTTTCTTTTTTTAGAAAGCTCTTCCGATAGTGATGATAAGTTTTTAAAAAAATTAACTCAGGAGACAGCATCGAAAGTCACTCCGATGGAGTCGAAAGATGATAGTGCTCTCTTTGCACTCGGTTTATTTTTCATAAAAGAGGTATAAACTAAAACATGAATACATCAAGTGAAAAAACTCCCAGTGTTTTTAAAATAGATAATTATTATTTGTTTAATATATTTACTTGAGGGCAAAATATTTAAGAAATCGACTATAACTATTTTCTTTCAGGAGAATATATATCCTGAGCTAAATTACCCTTAAGTAGAATTCATTTTTAATAAGGCATAAGAGTACGAAATAATGTTCTTTCAGCAAAGACATAGTCCTGTTCATTAAATAATTCCATTCGAGAATACTTTCCAATCGATATATTCATACTAACTTCAGCAAATTCTGTTTTTTTCTGTTTCAAACAAAATAGCTTACGGTTTCATTCTAATACAAATTTTTATTGATTATTTATTGATAAATGTTCCAAATCTCAACACGTACATCAATAGTTAACAAATTGAAATTGTTTAACTAATTATGATAAGATTTTGAATTTTTTTTAACTTCAAAAAGTCAATTTACGATAATTTGAAGAAGATATTATTAATGAAAATGTTATTATAAATCTCAATTCACAATCTTAAATCTTATCTACAACGAAAACATGCTCTATCGGACGTAGAAAGTTTTCCATTAAATAATTTCAAGAAAAGCTTTTCTTTATAAAATATACTGAGAACAAAAAAGTAATGCCGTCTCTAACTAAATAGTTATATAACCGTTTGATTCAGAAGTAATGATTTTTTTCGAAAAACAACATTATTTTATCGTCCTCCAAAGACAAACTAAGGAAACTCATTCAAACATGTTGAACAGATAAATGCTTTGCATTAGGAAGATGTGTGTAATCGTACATATTGTTTGAAACATGGCCGACAGATCAATGAATCATATGCAAAACATCGAAAGTGAGGTGTGCCTTATGTGAAAACACATACAAAAAACAGAAAAAAATTCTTAGTACTGTATATTTATAAGTACTAAAGATGATTTTGAACACTCTCTTTAGCATTGGACACGAGAAGTAAAATGAGATATTAGGAAAGTATCTTAGCTATGTGTTGAAGACTTTCTCGCTTATCTACCATAATTCTCTTTCAATAAAAACAAAAAAGGAAAACAACTTCTCTAGATCTTCACTTCTTTTCATTTTCTTCCTGGAAAATTTGAACCAATAAGATTGAAATTATCTATGAATATTGTATACGTTTCTCATTGTACA